GCCGCCCCCGCCGCCTCTCGGCCTCCCGGCGCGCCGGCCCCAGCGTCTCCCTAGAGCGCCCTCTCGGCAGAGGGCTGGACGCCGAGGAGGCGCGCCGCAGACTCGGGGACCCCGAATCCAGGGTCAAAGGGCAGTTTGGCGCCCCCTTCTCCTGCGGGGCGGGGTAGTGGCGGAATTCCGGCCAAGCCCGGTTTTACAAGGACTCCAGGCCAGATCCTGATCAGCCTGGACGTTGGGGTCCGAAATTCTCTTTCCAAACCCCTGGGGGTATGTGGGCGGGTGACCGAAGTCGGGAACACCAGCGACACTTTTTTTTAAACAAAACTTTATTGGTAATAGTTTTCAAATATGTTTACAACAGCACACTGTTCAAGAGGAAGTCGCGTCCTTCGCAGCACACAGGTTGAATCGCCCCCGTGCCCACCCGGGGCCCCACCCCAGGCCTGAGAGCTCCTCCTGGATGGGGAGAAGTTATGAGAGGGACAAATACGGGGATGAATGGGGTTGCTCCCCACTTTTGTGTTGAGAGAAAAAAGCACAAATGGGGGGGAGAAAGGGTGATGGACAGCTGACAGCTAAGCAGAGGAGGAGCGCCCAGGATGGGGGGAGGGGGGCGGAGGCTGCTGGGTGAATAAAACAGGCAGCCGCTCCCCAGCAACCCTGGCCTTGAACCCCGGGCCAAGAGGCGGGAGGAGGGCTTTGCCTTCTTTTGCGGGGGTTGCCTTCCCAATGAGCAGAGAGGAGGCTGGGCATTAAAATCTAGCTGAGAATAAAATTAGAGTTTGGGGGGGAGTGCTGGTGGGAGGAAAGACCCTGGGCTTGGGGCTCCCCTTCTATCTTTTCGGGGGACAACTCCTTTTTGGCTGGGAGAGGGGCAGCTGCTTTCTTTGTCTTGGCGAAAGCCCAAGGGTGAAGAAACGTCTGCTGGGGCAGAGGGGGACAAGGGCTTCCTAAAGGGGCTGAGACCCTTCCAGGCTTGTCAGGGGACCCCCCAGGGTTGGGGGGAGGTGGGCAGAGGAGCAGAGGAGATTAGCAGCTTGGGGCGGAGGTTTGAACCCCAGCTCCTTCCTTTACAAATTCAGTCTGCTTCCCAGCCTTGTTAAAATGGATCTGGGAAGGGGGCAGCTTGGGAGGGGTAGGGGGAGGAGGAGGGGGAGGCACTGGTGGAACTTAAATAAGATTATACCTCTTTTTTTTTTTTTTTAAATTCTAGCAAGCAGCCCACTGAACAGGTCACTAAAATCTCTCCTTTCCAGGCACCACTGCTCTGAAGAGAAGGCTGGCCTTTCCTTCATTTGCCCTTAGTGGGTGATGCCTGTGGTTTAGGGGGGGGTGGGGAGGGAGTTAAGTTTGGGCCCCTCTTTCCACACCCTGTCCCTGAATACACCAGTAAGACATGGTCTGACTGGAACATAGAAACTCGTTTAAAACAGGCAGAAGTGGGTTGGGTGGGGGTCTTCTGGGGAGGAGGAAGGCAAAAGCGGTAGGGGGAGGCAGGAGGGGGAGGGGTTGAGGGGGAGCAGCTGGTGTTTCCATTCCTCTGAATATCTGGCTTCCTGCTCCCCCTACCATGGAGGGTGGGGTGGGGGTGAAATTAGATGCAAGGAACTCTAGGGCCCTCTGGCTGTTCAATCCAACCCTCTCAAATAAATAAATAAAATCTAAAAAAAAAAAAAAAAAAAAAGAAAGAAAGAAAGAAAACCCATGGGGGCACAGGCACACCCCTAAAACTCAGTAAACTCCTTGCCACACTTCTCATTGATGGAGACTCGGATCTCTTCCTCCTCATAGTCGTCAAAATTACTCGTGTCCCCAGGGCCTTTAAACTTTGGTATGAAGGGAGCTTCCACCTGGAGAGGGGTCAAGAACCACTCAGACCTCCATAGTCAACATAATCATCCTTACAACAATAAATGTGAATGGCCTAACATTCATGAGATAACTTCCTCTGACCCAGGCCTGAATTTAACATAAGGGTGTGGACTCACCTTAACAACCTTAAGAATCTCATTATAGCCAGCTCACCAGAGGGGTGTCTCGTGCCCAAGGTCACAGAGTGGCCAAATGACCCCACCAACCCCCATCTAGACCCCACTGCTCTGAGGCCCCTCAGCTAGACTGACTCAGAGCCTGTGGCCTATTTTCAGATGCCACTGCCCTTTCCATCTCTCCATTGGTAACCCTCCCTGGCTC